CAGTACACATATTCCCCTATGATAATGGTTGAGAACCCCACTACATGTCAACACTGTCCTTACTCAACCTTGGGTTCCCTATCACCAGCTTTCCTGTCTCCTTCTGCCTTCTAGTCCTTGTCCCTGGACTGCTGTGCCTCATTAGTCCCGTTTTGTTTTATGGGGCTGTCCAATCCCTAGGTGAACGGTGAACCTCGGGAGTGACTTCACCACTGAGCTAAAAGGGTGTCTTGGGGCCTTAACAATGTTTTTGTGTGTTTGTGTGTGTGTGGTGAAAATATATGCAACAAAACATTCACCGATTCAAGAATTTCTACATGTATAATTCAGTGACATTGATTACATTCTTCATGTTATGTAATCATTATCACTATTCTCTTCTGAATTATTCCACCACCATTAACAAACTCAATGCCCCCTAAGCAAAAACTCTCCTGCTTTCCCCCTCCCTAGTAGTCTTTGGTTTCTATATATTTGCTTATTTTATATAAGCGAGGTCATATAGTACTTGTCATTTTGTGACTAACTTATTTTGCTCAGCATGTTTTCAAGGTTCATACATGTTGCGGCATGTATCAGGATTTCATTTCTCTTTATGGCTGAGTAATATTCCATTGTATGTATATACCTGTCTTAGTCATCTAGTGCTGCTCTAACAGAAATACCACAAGTGGATGGCTTTTACAAAGAGAAATTTATTTTCTCACAGTCTAGTAAGCTAGAAGTCCAAATTCAGGGTGTCAGCTCCAGGGAAAGGCTTTCTTTCTCTTTCAGCCTCGTCCTCATCAGTCTTCCCCCAGACTAGGAGCTTCTCTGTGCAGGAACCTTGGGTCCAAAGGACACACTGTGCTCCTGGTGCTTCTTTCTTGGTGGTATGAGGTCCTCAATTCTCTGCTTGCTTCCCTTTCCTTTTATCTCTTGTAAGATAAAATGTGGTGCAGGCCACACCCTAGGGAAACTCCCTTTACAGTGGATCAGGGATGTGACCTGGGTAAGGGTGGTGTTACAATCCCACCCTAATCCTCTTTAACATAAAATTACAATCACAAAATGGAGGTCAACCACACAATTCTGGTAATCATGGCTCAACCAAATTGATACACACATTTTTTGGAGGACATAATTCAAACCATGACATTCTACTGTTTGGCCCCCAAAAAATCACATCCTTGCAACCTGTAAAACATATTCATCTCATCATATCATAGCACAAGTCTTAACTCCAAGTCCAAAATCCAAAAATTACTCTTCATCTGTGAAATCTAGAATACAAGCTATCTGCTTCCAAAGGTACAATGACAGAACAGGCACAAGCTAGACATTTCCATTACAAATGGGAGAAACTGGAGGAAAAGAAGGGATAACAGGCACCAAGCAAGTCAGCAGAACACATTACATTAGCCCTCAAGGCTTTGAAAATAGTCTTCTGTTCTCTGAGACAATTTACACAATGGCCCTGCCCTCCAGACTCTAGGTATTGACCACACTCTTTAGATTCTGAGTGGAGGCCCCTTGGCCCTGGGCTTCAGCTTCACCTTCCAGGCCCACTGGGACAGCAACTCTGCTCCCTCGGCTTTAGGCACACCATTCTCCTAGTCCATCGGAGTGACAACTCCACCGTTAGAAACACCAGCGGCCATGGCTCCACCCTTTGGAACCCCTGAGGTCATGGCCATACCTTTTGAGAGTAAGGCAGCTCGGCTTCTTGTGTTCCTTGTCTCTTCAGCTTCTACTTCCTATGGACTCTCAGCCCTCGGGCCTCAAGCCTGCATCTGCCCTGCTGGGGCAAGTGTTCCCAAAGCTGGGTAGCTCCACC